ACATAAGCAAAAATTTTTAATCGAATTTTGAAGTTGTTCGCTTCCAACACGAACTTTTTTTTTCCCCACCTTCGAGTTCCATTTCGGATGTAAATTTGATGTGGATAACTTAAGAGTAATTATATTATTTCTAATATATAAAAAAAACTGCGCGTTATATATCAAATTTACGCTTGTTAATTTATTTAAACTTAAATTAAAAGAATAAAAAGGTATTCTTTAAATCTGGGTCATTGTTTGTTCGACATTGGAGAAGATCAAAATTCCTTTTACAATAATAAGATTAATAGAGAAAATGCGAATTAAATTCAAATTAATGCAACTAAAAGTTGTATCGAATAATTATTTTCATTGTTTTTTTTTATATCAAAAGTATTTATTCAAAGATTTATGTTTAATTTATAAGTTAACAGCGTGTTAAAACATTGCGATTTTTAGTATTTATTCTTATTTTAGATTTTTTTATTATAAAAGGCAACAACATAATTATAGAAAAATACATAAAAGTCGATTTATTATGTAAGATTTTTATTTATATCAAGTTTGAACTTATTATAACCATTTTATAACAAAATTAAAATGATTTATTTTAATCCTAGAATATATTTTATATGAAATTCAACCAAATAATTACTCGTATAAATAGTATTAAAAAGTATTATTCTATTGATTAACACATTCATAGTGAGGTTAACCTTTGTATTTTCAAGAGCAACTCGCCCTTCAAAAAGAGAGAGGGGAAAGAAGAAGAAAAAAAAAACATTTAATGACTTTAATCTATTCTGAAAATAACAGATAAAATAACAGAATCATTTAGAATAAATTTTCTAACGCAAGAAATGTATAATGAATTTTATTTTATTTTTTTTTGACTTTCTAAGTTCGTTTCACAGATCGAGTTGCTCAAATATTGATAACATTCAGTTATTTCAATCGAGCGTACAAAGTATACAGAAGTTACTTTACGTGAATCAATCGAGTTTGATTTTTTGTATCGAATTAAATCGCTGTTTTGAATGAAAGAGAGTATCTTCAAAATCAATTAATTACTTTAATTCCTTCGAAGCATTTAATTTTACAAAATAATAATAATAATAATAATAATCAATTTAACACGTTCTGTACACAAGTGCAGGCGTACAAAAACTATTAAGTTAGTAGCGTATATATTAAACAGATACAAGACTTTAATATCGGAGAGGAAAATATGATTTAATTCGAAAGTAATAATTCAACTCACAAAAGAACTATCAAGAAAATAATTATTTTCCACTTCTTAAATAGATTAAAATTGATAATTTCCACAACTGTAAAGAGGAGAACGGATAAAAATTTTTGTTTATTTAAACGAATAAAAATACATATATATTTTTTAAAAAAATATACAAACAATCGAGCGTGATTAAGAAGAAATATTAAAATATTCTCACAAATTTTTATAAACACTTGGTTAGAAAAAATAAAAAAGTACGCCATGTTGGAAGAAGAAAAAAAAAGAAGGGGAAAAAGTAGGTTAATTGGATGATTCGGAAAACAATAATATCGAAAGAAAAATTCAACGTCTTAAGTGTTAAAAAAACGAAAAAACAATCTTTTAAATTTTAAATCGTTTCACAGAAGCTACTCCGAATTGATATTCAGAGTTGCTCTTTGTAAAAGGCGCATGCTCAACTTTTCGTCGGAGAAGATTTGTCTTTCTGCCTCATTGAATTCCTTCGTTCTGGTCCAGATGAACGGAAAGAGCTCCTATTAATTACGGGCTTGGCAATAAAAATTTGTTAGGAGCCTCTTCATAATGCAGGAGATCGCGATCGATCTTTGCTCCGTAAAAATAAGACGAAAGAAGAAAGAAAAAAAGAACCTCCCCGTACGACTCACATTCTTATTGAAGACACAATCTCTGTATTATTTGTTAAAGTTTATCTTTATTTTAAATATGGCAACACATCCACTAACGACGGGGACCGTATTGTTTGGCTTGGGGTTTCGTCTCCCAATAAGTAAAGATCAATGTTTATTCTTCGTGTTTTTTAAGTTTATATAAACTGTTATCAATTCTTAAAAATAAATAAATTTAACGCGGTATCTTTCGATCTACGTAATAAAATACAAACACTACTTAAAATCTTATAGATCTATCTATAATTTAAGAGCGTGTTTCGCTAGGCGGTTGGAGAGGGTGTTTCGCTGTATCCGGATGCCTGAAGAGTAACGAAATTAATATAAATGTTACTTTAAAAATTGATTTTGTTAAAAGTATAACCCGAGAGAGAGAGTTAGTTAGAAAAAAAAAAATAAAAATAAAATAAAATTAGTCGAAAGAAGCATTTAATATATCAATAGCCCGGTGTTATCATCAGTTTATTACGTAATCATTACCCCGGGTTATCCAAATTAAAGAAGAAAAGCGTACACGCTAGAACGTAATCTGCTACAGAAAAATATATGAATAATTCAGTCCTTATTACGTAGAATGCAAATTCCAAAAGGGAAACAAAGCTTCAAAACTCCCGATAACGGTAAGTTGTTAAATTTTTGCTTAAAGCAAACCGAGCCAACGAGGTGGAAATTATTATATTTTGTTTCTGCCTGTCATTTTTAAGAACACGACGCTACGAGAATAAAGAAAAAAATGCATATAAATATATATATATAAATTATTTTTGTAAATAATACTAAAGTCAACAATCAACGAACAATTTCATTGTTTCGTTCTTACGGGAGAAAACAATGTTTTTCCGAATCAATTTAAAACCGAATTATCGTATCAATGATTTTTGTCAATAACTTAGACCAAAAGCAATCCTCTAACAAAGAAGATGAATGGTTTTTAGACAAATTCTTTCCTCGGGCAATTCAATCCTTTCTTGAGAAAATGCAAATCAATCTTATAATAATGGATGCTACTTTGAGAGCGCTTCACATCCAGAGATGGACAGTAAATGATGGAGGATATAAAGTGGGCTTTTATGAGTGTTCCTCCGTACTCGAATTTTATTCTGCCATAGTTTGATGTAAATCAACAAGAATACCGAATTTTCGACTCGGCCGAAAATAACACTTTTATGCTTTAACGTCGTCTATTAGCATCTTTATTCTCAATTAATACAAATCTTCCTTTGATAAAATCCTTTCTAAATAATAACTTTAAGGGGCCAAATTAACAAAAAAAATAATAATTTTTAGTTGGAATTAAATAAACTTTCAACTAACATTTTTAATTATCATTTACACTCAATTGTTTTATTATATTCGACGATAATCGATTTATATAGACTTAAGATCAATACAAAGTCTTTTATAACTTTTTCTACTTAAAGAATTTTACCCGTTTTAATAAATTATTCCTCATTGTATAAAAACAAAACTAATTCGTTCGTTGTAAAATAAAAAAAAGGGGATTAAATATCAAAACATCGCACGGTTATCGGAGAAAAAAAGGAGGCTCCGGCGAAAAAAGTTCTGAATAGATCCATTATAATGGGAAAATTTCTTGCTAAAATGTTTCATTTACTAGATTTATCAATGAAATTTTCCAAATATGAGATTAAAAATTCGATTTCGGGTGTCTATTTTTCTAAATATTTCATTTAAAGCGCGTACTTTCTTATCCACCTATCTCGACAGTAAACGCGTATTATATAGCCTATACATATAACAAAGTAAACACAACGTTTAAAAACACTTTTCTTTTTTCAATTTTGGAAGTTCGGGGGTCATTTAAACGTTCAAAATGATAATTTTGCTAATCTTAAAACGTTTTTTTGCATTTACCAGAAACTGGTTTCTGTAATTTTCCGAGAATTTGATGGCCAGATAAGAAATTTGTTCGATGTTTAATAATTATAATCACGCTATTTAATAAATGAAAATTTTCGTATTCGTAATTGATAAGCTCTGTGTCTATGTATTTTAAAAAAAAAAAAATAGAAACTTATCTAATTAAATTACTGGGATAATTTCCAAGAAAAATAAAAGTAAATACCAACGGTTTAACTACGGAATTTATAATAAGAGTAGTTTAAGAGTCCAATGGCGATTGGAGAAAATTCAAAAAAGGAAAAAAAGAATTTATATTCCAACAGTTTGCGGGGAGTTAAAACGTTGGAAAAAAAATATTGGAAGAGTTTGGGGCGATTCTGCAAATTTCTGATTAGAAAAGGTGAAAGACGAGGTCGAGAGAACGATCGTGACAAATATCTGAACGTTAACGGAACAGAAAACGTTGCAAACAGAGATCGGAGTCGCTAATCTTTATAAATGGTGGTAGAAGACGCGTGGCCTGCAGAAGCCATTCAACTTTACCTCCCGTTAACGGGTACGTCCGTATAAATTAGATCAGGATTGAGAAAGATTTGTTTTTCTGTAGAAATAAGAATTGAACGCATTGGTCAAACAGAATGGCATTTTTTTTTTCTTTCCTTTCTCCTTTAATTTTTCCATTTGCCAGCTTCTATTTCCGTCTATTGCCCGTTCCGGCAGCAACCGACGACAATTTTCGGCGGTTCTAGCCGAAAACCGTAAGGATTCGAACCCAATCGGAACGTCTACGGATTTTGCTTAAGAGACGAAGAGTGGAGACGAAAGTTACGGGCAGAAAATATGGAGAAAGTTGTACGGCACGAAATATTTTATCATAGAAAAATTAGTTTTCGCATGTGCAACACGTGTGCACGAAATGTTTCGATCCATTATATTAAATCTTCTGGAAGAATGGTTCTTTGTGGAAACGCGACTCATTCCATCAATAAACCTTTGTGAAAGTCCGGGATAAAATTATCCTTTAAGGAAAATCGTTAATGGGTGCACGGAGATAAAGGAAAAAAAATCCGCTGACCCAAAACCCCGGGTAGAAGATTATTGTCTTAAAAAAAAAAGAAACCAGAAAGAGAGATCCACCTTAAGAATGTCATTTTTAAATTAGAAAATAAAGAATGCTACCGTCAATTAACGACGACACCGCCAACCCCGAAGTAAGTAATTAAAGAGACCAAACTTACCTTGATACGGAGGTCCTGGGCTTTGCATATTTGGTCTGAAGTGAGGCGAAGCGGGGGGAGGATAGGCCAAGTCGGGATTACCTCCTGGATCGGGGCTGGTGGCTGTGTACGAAATAGGCAGGCGTTACGTAAGTAGGTACGAAACCAAACATAGGTTGAAATGATTAAATAAATATATTGTTCGAGTGTAAAATAAATAAATAAATTTTTCAAAAGACGCTAATCATATTCTAATTTAATCTAAAAATCTTAAAAGATAAATTTATCCGAAATAATCCAATTACCGTGGCCATAATTCAACTTAATACGTTAAGTCAATACGAATTATCCTTAATCATTTTAGTTCGTATTATCGTCAACAGATGGCGCAACAAGTGGTTTTTATTTATCGCGTACCATTACCATTATTACCGTATTAACGTAACGGTAATTTAAGTTTAATTCGCCTTTTGCCGCGCTCAAAAACGAAATACGGGCCGAGGAACGACGGGTAAATAATTTCGGCGGGTTAAGAAATACGGCAAATGGCGCGGCGGACGGGAGAAAAACGTATCTAGGCGCGTGTTTCGTACATGTCCCCGGCACGAAGGAAAATTTTCGATTTTTCCTCGACGGGCAAAAGGGGAGGGACGAAGGAAGAAGGGAGGCCAACGTGTCCCCCGAGTCACATCACGTCGGGGTCGTTAATCAAGTCACGCAATGCCCGACAGCTGCGGGTGACACTGCTAGGAAGGGGGAAGGGTTCATCTGCATGCCGACAGACAGTTCCAGACAATGGATAGGGGAAAGGGGGCGGTAAGTGAATTTTTTCCCTCCTCGCTCTCTCCTTCCTCTTCTTCTGCCTCCGGGAATTCCCTCACCGCACGGACCCGCCGAGTAAAGGTAAAAGGTCGACCGACCGGGGCCGTACCGCGGTCGGCGGGTCCTGGAAGGCGAGGTGGCGGATTCTTCTTCTTCTCGGGCGTCTTTGCTGCAACCAGTTTGCAAAGTAGATTTCTGGATTCTTTGATGTTTTCATGGAGAAGCGAATTGAATGGAAATCTCTTTTGAAGAAGAAAGAAGCGTCGAGCTTTGAATCGACTCGAGTTGGCAATTGGTTGGCTAAAAGGATTATTTGAAAGTACCGATCGGCGTTCCACCAGAGAATTGACAAAGATTTGCAATATCGAGATGTCGAATATTGAACATGCGCAAATTACCAGGCCAAACAGTCGAAAAGGGTCACAATCCGGTGACGTGGACCGAAGCGAAAGAGTCCACGTAAAAATGAATTAACAACGTTTATCGGATAATTTTCATTTGCAAGATACATTCATTTACGTTCGGGTAAGGCCACTCGGTTGGCATAATCGTTATTAATCTTACAATACAGATTATCTTCCAATTGATTTAATAAATTACAAATTGCATTAGAATAATTTCCGAAACTTATCGTACTAAACAGCAAACATTAAAGTTTTGTTCATTTCAATTGTAATTACATTTTAGCTTCTCTCATCACAAACCGAATCCAAGAATGTTTACGAAACTGGCGCGTGTTGTCCCTTGGGTTATCCGGGAATTCCTCCAGCAATGGGATTTGGTTGCTAAGCCTACCTATCACATTTCTTTTCGATGAAGTGAAAGCTCGTTTACCAAATAAATTTCTCGAAAAACACATTTTTCAACTTATAAACAGCCACATTAAGACAAGTGGCACGTAGAAAAGAAAAAGACGAAAAAAAAATATAACGCCTCTGTAGGAACCGCGCGGAAAATTAAAGTATTTTTAAAAACCCCAACCCCTACAAATACCTTAGAACCCGGCTTTAAGGGTCGACCGACGACGAAGAATTAAATTTACTTAAGACGGGAGAAAAAAAAAGCCGCCCTCTCCGCGCTATTTGGCGTCGAGAATGTAGAAATAAGGAAAACTGCCACGAAATTTGGCGGGTGTAGAGGTATACACCCTAAATCGCCCCGAGTTTAAGAACGGGTAAACAAACGAACAATGCGCAAAGCGGGTACCCGGACGACGTTTTTAACAAAGTCGAATTAAAGAACCTGGAAAGAATGCACGCGCTTGTATTGGCTGTAAAAAAGGAAAAGAATTCTAGTTTTAGAGAATAGAACGTCTTCGAATTTCAACCGGGCAGACGATATTCTATCCAATCTTGTCAGACGAAGCCATTTTCGGTCGTCGGCCATCCTTAAAGGGGGTCGACGAGGGGGGGAACGTCGCGTGTGACAGGCCACGGCTCCCGGGTTTCAATTAGGTTCGCCTATTAGTCTAGGGATGACGAAGGGACCCAACTTGGTTCCTATGACAACGGCGGGGGTGGAAATCGATGGACCGGCCCGACGTAGGTTGCTATGGCGACTTCGGAACCCGCGGGGCAAAGGCGTGTTCTGTCACAACCGACTAAGGACGAGGAATCAATTTTTCTTCCTACCCGACCGTCCACGTACGTCGAAGGTCCGAGTCTGGCGTGCCCCGTCTAATCCTTAAATCCGTCGTTCGAGGGGGACCGACTCCGTCGGTCAGTCTAGTCGTGTTTCTCCAGTCGACTCGGCTAAAATCCTTAAAGAATTCTAAAAATAAAAAGCCAACTCTCCACCTCGCCTTTCCTCCTTTTACATTTTAACCGCTTCCTTCGACTAAAAAAAAAAAAAAAATGAAATTTTCTACTCAAATATTTACACAAAATTTACTTTTATTCTCTTACTTAAACTCGGATTAAAAACGTTTAAATTTGCAAATACGTATATATATATATATATGCGCGCGCGATTTTTTTAAATAGAAAGAAGGGGAGCGACAAATTTAAAAATTCTCAAAACGCGCGTGACGTCACGTATGGCGTCATCGACGGGTTGTTTCACGTGACGTCATATCAGGAAGTAAGTTTACGAATTATAAAATTTGGTCGAAGGAGATTGATAGTTGTGGCGCAATTCCTTTCGGGTTTTTTTGCCTTTTAGTCGGAAGAGAAAATGTAAAAAAAAAATGCCTCTTTCGACCGATCTATCACGTAATGAAGTAGGTTAGAAAGTAAATGAAGTTGTGACTGTAAAACAGGCAGAAGTAATCGATGGCGGTCAACGCTCTAACCTTGGCATGAATTTCATTTGTTGTTGTTTAGAAGTTATAACTATGTTTATGGTGATTCGTGAAGAGAGCGGCCGACAAAGGTTTCGACGAGGACCAATGGCGAAACGTTCCTCGCGCGTTGCGGTGTCCTGGCCGACGGCCCGACAGTCTCGGGCTTCCGGGACCGGGACGCCCCCCCGACGACGTCACGACCGGAAGGATGCGTGTCGGGCGCGATCGAAGTTCGATCGTAATTCGAATTTGAAACGGCGCGCTTCAATCCCTGTAAAATTCGTCAAATTAGACTTATTATGCCGCTCTTTCTCTGGATTTTTTTTTATTCGAAAAAATCGCAAAACTTTTATCGATCGTCGTCGATTGTTAAACGGGCGAGGAGAAGCGACCGTAACGAATCGAGGGCGTAAATAACAAATGTCACCGTCGGAAAAAACAAAAATAAAAAAAAAATAAAATGTAAAAAGTGGGGTAATTCGCCACGGTTTCCGCCGGGTAGATTTTAATCCGTATTCTACGTCGGTGGAGAATTTCAGTTCCAAAGGGTTGAATAGGCATTTTGATGCCTCGTGACAACGAAAATCGATGGGGTCACGTGCGGATATTGTTGTAACCAATAGGAAACTATAGCGTCGGTCACGTGGTCGGATGGTGACGTGACCTTTCAGGTCGGTCCAGAGGTCTGCTAGTGGCCAGAGTTATAGCGTCACTGCGACAAAATGGCCGACTGCCCAGCAGCCAACTAAATATCTTTCTATTCCGACTTACGTAAACTATGCGATATTAAATATAAAAAGAAAAAAAAAAAGAGAGAAAAACGGCAAGAGGGGGGTAAAAGTACAGGAGGAATGTAGGGATGGCGAAAACGTTTTCATTTCTTGTAATGGAAAGAATCGAATCTCATCTTGGAACTGTAGATGGATCTAAAGCTTTCAGCATCTCTTTCTACAGAAAGCCCGGGTACTAAGGACTCCATCAACCTGTACAACCTTTTGCTTCTCTAGCCACTCTTGTACGCTACGTCCACGGTTGCCATGACGACTGGCGTCGATCTATTTCTCTCCGGGGGGCGGAGGGCAGAAAAGTGTTTTCTGTTTGTCGGCTAATGGTCAATTTGGCAAGCTACTATTTGAAGACTTTCTATTGAAATTTAAATGCCAATTTATTTATTTATTTCTCTTTCGCCGTTGGCCTCCTCCTAATTTAACGCCCGGCACCGAACGGGTTTCCTTAAAAATTCTTTAAAAACGGAAGAAAACGCCGGTTACGGTGATGGGGGTGGGGATTTGCAGGCGCCTTACGAAAGACGGGAAAATGGAGGCGAAGCTACTATGAGTCGCGCTCGCCTCTACTGGTCATGCTACCCATCGATCTGACCCATGTTCTACCCACACGGTGGCCCCATTCTGCCCGGGATAGGTAAATACCAAAGCCACTCCTCTTATTCAGCTCGAAAGGGAGGGAAGGGAATACTGAAGAGAAACGTTGCCATAGAGACAAGATCTCCGCGAAGCCGTACCCGAACTTGCAGTCCGCTCCAGCTAATCACCAAACTCCTGTTCTCGCGTATCGTGCATCCGACCGGAGCGAAGGAAATTTGAAATTTCGTCCAGCGCATGCGTAACACGTACACTAGTTTTCCCTCGTGTGGAGGCGCTCTCTTCGCTCTTACCGGACGATCAATAAAGAATATTTAAAGGGAAGAGAATTAGTCGTAATGCCATTTAAACTTCGCTTTACGTTTTTCTTCCATTCAACGTGTATTTCTTGCTGTTGTCAATTGAAAGGAATTTTTGAATCAACATTTTTCTTCTCCCCCCCTCCGAAAACTAAATCCGAGTTGAAACGTTTTCGAATTATCGAACTGTTTCGCGCAGACCTTCCTTTATATATACTGTACATACACACACACGCGTATAACTTATATAATATTGTCGATTTTACTTGTTAATAAACACATTTATAGCTGGATTTTGATACGTTTAGTGGATTTTCCTTCAATTAACAGAATTGGCCAAGCATACGTTTTCTCACTTGGCCGATTTTCCACACGAAAATATGGGTCGCTTGTACTTTTTTTATATACGTATGTACACACACCGGCACGTTTCTAAATGGTAAAATCCTCGTCCCGAAAGTTTTCTAAAGGGTCGTACGGGAGAAAATGGTTCCCAACCTCGCAGATACCGAATATAAATCATCTTACGCAATCGACTACGAACTGACGTCGGGTTTAAATACATTAATAACTCGTAAAAAAAAGTCCATTACGTAAAAATTGGGCTAAACGAAAATATTTTATAACTTATCTGCTTTTAGGCAATTAATTGGTAAAAGTTTTTATATTTTCTATTAACGAAAACAGTTGTTTGACGATTTGAAATTTTGGATTTTTCTCCGCTCTCTTCTTCCGGGCATCCTCTAGTTAATTTTTATAATGGCTTTCTTATGTTAATGATTTTTTAAACAGACTAAAAGAACGATTTTTACAATAGCTGATAAACTGTTAGATGAGATTTTTTCGAAACAAAAACTCCTCGTCTTTTATGCAAGTCCGGAAAAATCATTCCATCTGTCTCCTCTCTCACCCCCCGGTTTTATAAGTTCTATATTTAATTTCTAAAATTCTGATAAGGGGAGGGAAAAAATCGATAAAAACAAATCGCCTTCCCCCACTTAAAAACTTGATAAAAGTGTATCTCTTCACAAGGAATCACGGGAATTTTCAATGTGAAGTGACGTCACAATTCGAAATGGCGAAGAAATTCGAATTGCTGACTTCACGCCAGATTAATTTGATTTCGTTTAATTCTATGGTGTAAGTAATTACTCGATTAACCAATTAAGAACTCGTAATCTACGTTATCGATAAAATTTATTTACGTAAATAATTTTTATTAATATTAAACACTTATGTACCGTACGTATATCACACAAAAGCGTAGGTAAAGATCTATATAATGCGTGTGCCTAACAGAACCTAAGCTTTGTTCGTCTAGAACGAAACCCGCGAGGTAAATATATAGAAACAAGTGATTTTTTTCGTTTGATTGTTTTGAAATAAGAAATTTATTCGACATCGGTTTGCATTTTTCCTGGAAACACGGGCCCCTATGTAGCCCCATTTTTTTGAGGAAATAGGGCCGACCATTGTAAGTACGCAGGGGTGTATGCACGATATGAGCCTAGGTTCATTGTACCAGACGGGCCCTTATCACTTCACAGCCCTATTCTACACGTACAGTTAACTGAAAAGCACTCGAGTCGAAATTTAATATTCTATCTTAACCTTACCTGAACGATAATATAATATTTCGAGTATTAAATTCTGTGTCTGTCGGGAAGGAAGAGGAATTATATTATTAAACCCCCCTCGATCCCTGGTAAATTCCGCATTAATAATTATCACCGGCGTCGATAGGTGTTAGTTGGACGTAACGTAACGACGTTAAATGAAAGTTAAAGGTTTCTTAATAAATTTGACGAATATAATAGGGGGAGGTTTTTTTGTTTTTTTAAACGAAAGTATATACGTCAGCGGATTCATCATTTGTCTTAGTCACCCACGTGGTTGCGCAAAGAAGACAAGGCTAAGCAATACGTCGATCGTTTAAGAAGATATAGAATAAATGAATTTTACTCACCTCCGTACCAGGCCAACATGACGAAATGCAGAAAAACAAACTATTGAGTTCTATAATTCTGCCCGGTAGAAATATTAAAGCGTTATGCTTCGAAAGACATGGGATGTACTAAAGACGAGCCATGATGTAAAGATAAAAACGTCATACGATGCAGAATTCCCGCCAAAAATTGGCCAGAATGCCGCTCAAAGATGTCGACCGCCTTCACAGTCGGTAGTTCGAAGCCCGACTGCCAGCTAGCTAACTGGCTACAGCCGAGCCACCCCCTCTTCCATCTACAGCTCGCACAGAAACATACCAGCATGCACACACACACACACCGGGCTGGTCTGACAGCAGGCGGTTAGGGTCGTGGTATGCAGGGTCGTCGGTCCCGTACCCAAGTCCACGGGGGAAATGGAATATTGACAGACGAAAATATCCAACAACGTTGCCGCTGCCGTGCCGATTCTAACTAAACCGGCTGCTCGTTCGCCTTTAAAAAATATCAAATGTATAAAATCGAAACGTATGTCGTAGCTTCTTCTTCTTCTTCTTCCTCACACACTCACACTCATCAGTCGATTTCGTAGACGAAAATAAAAGATGAGTTAAATTTTTTTCGCTAAATATATTTTTTTTTCTGCTTTGCTACTTTCACTCGGCAGGTGGTGCGCCTGCGTCTTTCGATACGTAGCCCGTCGTCTTGTCTTTCTCAATCCTCTTTACGGTTGCGCGCGCACCTTAGAAACATCGTCCGTCTCTTGGTCTTAGATGGTTCCGTTTGCTGGACAGCCTACCTTGGGGGTAAATGTATTGATCTGGATCGCATCTGAAGCGATGGCAACGTTGCTGACCCTTTACGTCGAGGAAATCCAACGCCTGCAAATGCATCCTCTCCTACTTAAGGTTACCGTAGCAGCAGAAATGTGAGCGATTTGTGTGTCGTCTGTTTCTAAGAGATCGAACTTATGACGTCATTTCCTGCACATCGGCCTCGTTTCCATTGTCGGAGAAGGAAATTTGAATTAGTTTCATTTAATCTCCTTTTACAAAAATAGTAAATTTATAAATTCATTCACTTCGTTTAAAAAAATATCGCCATACTACTTATAACTTATAATATATTACGTTTTATACGTAAAATTTATATTATAATAACCTTGCAAAGAATTAATACGTAATACAAATGCCTATTTATCTTCGCCTTTCGTATATAAATATTATTAGCTTAAAATGGATCCGATGAAAAATTTGCCCTTATCCGTTGGTTCCGTTTAATAAATAATAATAATAATAACAATAATAATAATAAACAAACTGTTGAATTTACAAAAGCAACATTCTTTTCGAATAGCGCCATCTCGAAGTGTTTTAAGAAAGTATTTCTTTGCTTTTATTATTTTTTTTTCACGTTTTTAAATACCGGTAAATCTCAATTACGTTTATAAATTTCAAAAAAAATAATATGATTTTCGCCTCGATTAAAAATAGTAGATTTTTTTAAATGATTTTTTAATAAACTTTATTTCCAAATTAATTGAAAAAATTAGTATTTCGTTAATAAATGTTATCGAAATTTTAACAAAATATACTTATTGGATTTATTTAATAATATTAAAGTCTTAAATTATGTTAAATTAACTTCTAATATTATTCAATAATTTTCTAATTTAATCTTTTCGGATCGTAACATTCTCCGATGAGAAAATTATAAAGTATTTTTATTATATTTGGCCTTTTCAATTTGAAACGGTCTCATTGGATAATAGGCGATGACGTATTTCAAAAATTGTCGAATCGTATTACTTAATTTAAAAGTTTGAATTTAAAAAATATTTTATTAAGCTAATCGTAATTACTTAACAATAATGTTGATTTTATTAAATTATTTTATACGGCAATTAGTAGAGAATTATGTTAATCGTGTTTAACGTGAAAGTAGATGGTAAATAAATAAGAATATAAAATGTAATAAGCATGAACTATGCCTTCTAATGAACACTTCATCTGCCTGTACCTGCCTGACCTTAGTCACGTGACTAGACAACACGATCAGCACCCTTCTGGATTGTGGAACCCAAAACGTGCCTAAGTCAGCATCTCTGTGTTGAAAGACCTCCCACATAAAAAGATGAAGCTAAGAAACAAAAGTGTAGATTTTCTTTATAAGACTTTGCCGTCAATTTAACTAGGAGAAAATCTGATGAATCTTCAATTTAGTTAGGTGTGTGCATTTATTTTCTTTGCTACAATTGAAATTCTTGCTTGTACGTGTAGTCTTGTGTTTGTTTGTCGAAACATTGTCTTAACTGTTTACATTGATACCAGAGTTGGAAAGAAATGTTATTCGCCAACGAATGACAAGATTTTGATAATTCCTGCAAACTTTTTTGTATTTCTGGAATCTTTTGAACAGAGAAAAGAAATGTGCTGTCCAGTTATATCAAATCCCGAGAGAGTTGGAGAAGGATTGTATGTTCTTCGGGGCATCCCTCACTATCGAAATGCTTCTTCTTTCTCACGTCTTCTAGAATTTATCGCTCCATCGTCAGAAAACATTCTCAAAGACATCTGGATTTTGAAAATAAAGTACTTTTTCTGTATTTTTTCTTTTCTTTATAATAAAGAAGAGTGTGTATCAAAGAAACTAATTTTCTTTTCAAACTTTATAAGGTCTTATTAATGTGTGTAGAGAGTATGCAACGGCATATAAAATAGCACGAGTTTCCATGTTTGCTTACGGTTTTCTGGAAAACACTCACCGAAGAAGGTGGAAAAGATACTTTTTATTTCTAAGGAAAAATTAGGTCAAGCTTAGTTTCGATATTCTTAATAAAATATCGTACAAAATGGTATCGAGTACATTAAGATGCTTAGAAATTCTAGATGATTTTTACACTATAATAAACATTCGACTGGATAAACTTATTAAAGTAATGCGAAGGTAATAAATTAAATTATTAAATTAGTTTGTAAAGAAATGATAATTCCGCTAACAGAAAATAAAATGGCAATTTTTGAGGAGTAGAAAGAGAGAATCTCGCTTTTGAACTGCATGTAGCAGACGTATGGTATATAACAACCAAACTGCGTAGCTACTACCGCTCTACCATCCTAATCACGCTACTCGTTCTTTCCCCCGGTCAAAAAAAGAAAAATCCCTCCAGAAACTCGGTCGCTTCCATTATGTCTTTTATCTGGCTTCCCTTCACTCAGCCAAGGGCCTGAGACCCCACGCCTCTTCTCTTCATCCATCCCCTTTTCCGTACCCTCCCTGCGGTCGCAATGCTGTGATTAAACGCATTCCCCCACGCAGAGAAGGTCCGTAATCTCAGAATGGATCGATATTGCATTCGGGGTCCGTTGTTTTCGCCTTCGTGTCTCTCCCAAACTGACGTCACAGCTCTTTCCCCCGACGGCCATCTTTCTTCCATGGCTGAAACTTTTATCCAGCTATAACTAATCATAAAGTGAACTAGATTAATTACACTTATCAATAACGTAATTATGTTAAACGTTCGAAACGTAACGAAAAGATAATTCGCCGAAACGGGAGATAAAGGCAGAAAGAAATTGAAAAATTAAAATTTTTTAAATATATTTAAAAATATGAGAAAAGCGAAAGCAATTTGTAAAACGCGCGCGCCATATTTAAATGGGGCTAAACATCAAAACTTGATGACGTCATCACAAATAACGGAAAATGAATTGTTGACAGTGTAGTCGAAGTTGCGAACTATTAATGTTGATATGCACTAACATTTGGTGAACTACAGAAGCGATAAATTTGGCAACAGTCCAGAGTTCATGGATCGATCGCTCACTCCTTCCTCATCCTTACCTTGATAGAGGCGCATGCTCTGTCGTTGGACAGCCTCTCTTTGACCAACGGCGAATCTTCCGAAAGCTCTCTTTCTCCTCTCATGCAACGAAACACCTTCCTACCGGAAACAATTTTGCTTCATCACGAAACAAAACACTCAAGATTGCACACCAGCCATAACTAGTCCACAAGTTATTATAAAGTTACATCCATACATAATTGGCGCCAAGCGGAGAGCAGGAGAAAGGCACAGCGAAACGCTAAAGAATTTTTCCAATTTTCTTTAAATTCTCCAATAAAAATACCAGAAAATCTGACATTTTCCAACATATTCTACCATTAAATTTTCTATACTTCACCCGTCTATCATTACTACGTTATAAAGCAACTTTTCTATAAAATTACGGTGTAAACGTTGAAATTTTATAATTTTATGTATTTTAAATTAGATTAAATTTGTAGTAAAAATTGATTATGATAATAATATCATTAAACGTACAAGTTTTTGTGTTTTTCTGACATTTGTCTGAAGACTGGACAGTACAGATCAGACAGATGGAGGCCACAGGATTAAGTCTGTCCTGCCGTGTTGCTATGGTTACTGAACACGGTTTTGTCCACTTCAAAGAAATAGAAAATAGAAACTAGACTCTACCTACAACCAACGAGAATCCTTTTTTTTTTTTACAATCTAAACAAAACCTCATCCTTTCGACAATAATAGAGTATAAAAAAAGGAACACCCATTTAAACAACGTAATCAAGGAAAATAACATTTTAAGACCGCCAAAAAATATATTTAAAAACTTAGTTTTATATAGAAATTCTTTAAAATTTTCTAGTCGAGGAAATATCAAATCCGACATTAGTTCCTTAAGGCCAAAATAAGAGTCTTCTTCGTTCAGAGACATCTAGAGGTCGCAGTTGACGTCAGAAGAGTTGTTTGTCCAAACTCCGACAACATCGACATCGGCCTGGTTCCAAAAATAGAATACCAGACCAGTCATAGAGCTTCGATTCCTTCCTTCTAACAGCTTTGCTCCTTCAGCCGTATATAGTACACGTACAATACAACATGTACAGCAAAGAATTCTACAGTTGTTACACGAGCCGACTGCTTTGCCACGTCACTAAAACACCCCAATTTTTTTTATTTCTTTTTTAAATATTTTCCCGACATTTTTTACTCCTTTCAAACTCGTTAAAATTAAAGTTAAAACGATATTCCGTACTTTATAAAACGGAAATAAAAATCAATAAACACGCAAACAGAATGCGCGCGAGTTGTTCGTTGCCCAAGCGAAAATTTTTCTTCTTTTCGTAAAGTTCTATAATTTTTTCTTCTTATTATTTTTTTATTATTACTTTATCGAAATTTTCGTGAAGAATTTAAAAGTTTTCGCCCGTGATTTAAACCGTAATATACTTAAATATATACAATTTCGTCGGAATACGTCGTATACGTGAGACCGTTCCGCTGCAGCCACCGCCATTTTGAGAGAATATCCAAGTTTATTCTATTGATGTGAATATACCAGCTGTGCCTCTACAGGTAACATTTTGAATACAATAGATTACAAATAGTAAAAATATCTATATAAATACCGTATATCAAATTTTGATTTTTGAAAAAATAAATAATAATATTTAAA